ATCAGCCACGAGGTCGGCGACAGTACCGGTCGGGCCTGCGGTGGCACCGTCAGCGTCCACAGCCCCAGCCCTGTTGCAACAGCCTTTGGTGGTATCGCCCCCCCGCCCTCCAGCGTGCGTCTGTTCTGATTGATCCTCACTCTGCAACCGACCACATCGTCGAGTCACCGAGTCAAGCGGCATCACCGTTGCCACAGGACGATGCTGGTTTGCCTTTGTCTCCCACAGGCGCGAGAGCGAGGCAGGAGGCTCTGCACGCTGCGGACGCCGCTGCAACGGAGGCCGAAACTATCCGCATTCAAGACAAGATGGACAAGCTGAAGCCGGAACAACTTGATAGTGTCACACGCTTGCCCCTCGGTCCTGATCCTGATGAATTTGCTCGCTTCGCGTCTAGCTGCAAGGGTGTGGTCACAGAGATCCTCAACAAAAGCGACGTCAAGCGCAAGCAGACTTTCAATTCCTCTACCTGGGTCACGGGATGGCTTTCGTTGTTGCGCAAACGTGTCCGTGCTCCTGTCGTTGAAGGGCCAAACCACCAACCGTGCCACGCTGGAATTTCTTGATGCCACCTTCCTACAGGTAGAAAACCATCTGCGCAAGGAACCGGCAGGGCCCTCGACGTACGCCTTCTTCATCCAGAAATTGGCGGCCGCCTGGGACACTCAAGACAAGAGCTCGGGGATTGATCGTCTTCGCAGTTTTGGCGTATCCAACGGCGAGACTTACGGAGAATACATTCGTCGCTGAAAGGCTCTGGCCGTGACCGTCATGGTTTCCCACCACGCGTTCAAGTCTTCGGATGCGCAAGTGCAGATAGCTGTTCGAGACTCCATGTTGAAGCAGTTTCCGGTAGTGTCTGGGCAGGTGTACAAGGATGAGCAGCTCTCCATGGAAGCCCCTTTTGGGCGACAGGCTTCGTGTCTGGATGATATGTGGGATGTGTTGGACAAGCGTGCGTTCGCGCACACGCCGGCGGTGCATGGAGATGATTTCTTTTTCGGTCCACGAATGCTAGGAGTTCGTCTTCTGTTTCGCGTGCTGTAGCTTCTTCGGCGTTGCGTTCGACGGTGACCCCTTCGTGGAGCCAAGGTTCTTCGGCCGCCGTGATGAGTGTTGACCCTCTACCTAATGATGATCGGGACCCTTTTCTGTTGCACTACAGCGACTGGCCGTTGCAAGGACACTTCCAAGAGGTGTACAACGTCGCTAGTGAGATGGCTCTAACCAAGAATGATCCGCCATTGTTCAACCCCTTGGTCTCGACTGAAGAGCGCCGCAACGCGCTTCGACTGTACAAGGGCAAGTGCCTCAACTGCTTGGGAGAAGACCACTCCTTCAAATCCTGTAATCCTGGTTTCGTGAACGCCATCGGCTTGCTTAACAATGACATCAAGTTCTGTATGGAAAAAGATCCCACCCTTTGGGGTCGGTGGAAAATGACCTCGTATAGACGCCCTACAGGACGCAACCAACATCGGAATCACCCCTTAGGACGCGCCCGCCGCTCATCTGACACATCGGACACGAAACAGTCCTCACACACAGAGCACTCGTCGGACGCTTCCACTTCGTCAAAAAGGGGCTGGAGGAGTAAGAAATGACAAGCCGATGGTGGAGTCCAGTCGGTACTACCGTCAACAGCAACCACCGTGCACCCTTTTGGAGTCTCCTAAGATGTTCGTGTACAGCCTATTTCTTTGGATACTCCCCACGCTCCT